CTTTTTCTCACTCGAAGCATCTGAACCTTACTATGTATTCGCGTGCTTGAAACCAAATAAGATATGTGCCTGAAGATTAAAAGTGCAGATTTTTTCCAAAATCTTCTCAAAAGGGCAAAACCAAGTAGCCCTACAGAATGCTAGAAGAATACCAGAATCAAACTCAGTGGATAAGCTTTTCTCGCAAGTGCTCAGCATAAAGCAGAATCACATATGCATAGAGCGGAACATAATTTTGAATGTAAACTAATGAAAAACAACTATTTCAATGCGAAATAGCCAGCTATAAACAGAATTTCAAGCTTGTGAGGAGAAACTGAATGTGAAGAATGTTAAAAATGCGATAGAAACTTTGGAAGGTGACAAAAACGAGAAGCTGATGGACTTGTGGTGGCATCAGTACAAAAATGTCAATAATTTAAAAAATAATGGGGGAGAACTCACTTTGCAAAGATCTCTTCAAGACTTGTCTCCTGTAAGTCAAGCAGAAGCACAGCCTTGTTCAATAAGTGATCAATATCCATAGTTGCACGAATTTCGGAGCCAAAATCTTTCATAGGGATTTTTTCATGCTTTGCGTACATCAGCGTCACGTTGTCGTACTCATCTAAAGAATAGAGAATTTGAATTATAAATAAACAATTCTGATCAATGGGTCGACTATTAATCAAAAGGCATTGGAAACCATTGGCTAGGAACTTACTGCCTGCATTACTCCAACTCAAAGTATCCAAAGGAGGAGTATCACTATCGAAATCATGTTCTCCGTAAAGTTGACTTTGACTACCATACTGACTGGCTGAACGGGAATCAGCGCCTTTGGACGGAGAGCTCGTCCGTCTCGCTGACGACTTTTCCCCTTCCTGAAGACTTTTCATCGACAGCCAACTAACCCGCTTGGTGAGCATTTTCGTCTTATCAACGGGCTCTTCCGAAGGCTCAATGATTTTTGCCTGAACTTCGAGCTGCAGCGTCGGTTGGCTGGCCCGTCGTTCAAAACTTTTCAGTGGACGAAAACCAATTGCTGGCGCCCCAGTTTGAACACTTCTACGTCGAGAATTAGTGGGACTGAGATTCAGACTAAATCTGGGAGGCAAAGGTGCCAGATCGCCTTTTTCTCCAAGCTCCGGACAAGGACAGCTGGCGACAGAATTTCCGGATACATTGCTTATTCTCCTCTGTTCTGGAACGAATAGCAGGGTATGGGACGTTCTCCGCGTCATTTGTCGCATCTTCGGGTCAGTTTTCCGAATGTAAGGCCTTTGAATAAGTTCCGTAGAGCCACTAGCTGATTGCTCATCTCCAGGTGATGAGCGTGGTGAAGTACAGTGCATAGTGACCGGCACGGGAAACTCGTCTTCGATCACCGCAGCACATTTTGCGGCCATCACCTGAGCAGACGAGTTTTCGCCGTTGACGATGAGCGTCACATGCGCCGGTTCGAGCATGTGCGCCACTCTCTTTTCGAGCTTTTCCAATTCGTTGCGCTTTGTGAGCTTGCCCAAGCTCCGCCCCCTGCGACGAGATACGGCAGCCGACGCGGCGGGTTGTTAGTTAGCTATAGGCACAGCCACTGTCTGTGCTTGTTCTCCTTACTCTATTAGAAGATGGGATGAGGTCGATGAACTGTGAAGATGGCATGAGGGTGG